ACAATAAAGACACGTAGCAAAGAGGGTGGGGCGCCCTGAGCACCAAAGATGGTGGGGGGGAATCCCTCACAGAACTGTAAATAAACAAGCCGGGCCTGGCCGGAGAGGGCGGGAGCGGCACGTGCCCAGCAACCAGGAGCAGGAAAGCTTGTGAGAGTGGCGAGGGAGGAAAACTCCACAGGAGAGGGGAGAAGACCCACCTCCCACGTGAGCTGTAAACAAACATGCCAGCCGGCAGGAGCAGCAGCACACGATCAGCAATAAGGAGCAGGAAAGCTTGTAAAAGTGTGGGGAAAACTCCACAGGAGAGGGGGGAGTCTTCCACATAAGCTGTAAATAAACACGCAGCCTGAGAAAGCGGTGCAGTGTCACCTCCCAGTGTGCTTGGAAAGGGGAAAGCTTGTAGCAGCAGGCTGGCACAGGAGAACTCTGAGTAAACAAGCCTGCAGGGCCAGTGAGTGTTAAGCTCACTCCTGAGATCTCATAAATATTGCCTCCAGCAACATCAGGCTGACAGCAGCAGGCAGGCAAGCCACAGCCGCAGATACCATTCTCAGAACTGTCTCCAGCCTTTTTTTTTTCTCTCTCCCTACCTTTGAAGAGAAAACAACAGAACTACCCCTGCATGCTGAAAAACTTACTGAAACTGTATTGCATTTAAACTTGGGACACTTTGTTGTTTGTGTTTTGTGTGGTTTTGTTCTATTTTATTGTCCCCTTTTGATGAGACAACTACAGAACAACATCTGAGGCACCATCTCCAGGATTGGGCTGAGACGGACACCAAATTATTAAGACTGAAACTTATTGCATTTGAACTTGGAGTTTTTTTATATTTTATTTTTTTTATTTAATTTTTTATTTTATTCTTTATTTATTTTTTTATTTTTTATTTTCAATCCTCTCTCTGTCTCTCTAATGCCTTTCAGCTGTGATTAGTACACTGTCTCTCCCTGTTTATCTTTGAAACTTTTGTTTTTTCTTGTTGTTTTTTCTACTTCTTTATTTGTTTTCCCTTTTCTTTAACTTCTTGCTTCCATCTCTCACCTTCCATTCTAAATATCATTGCTATTATTACAAGCTAGAAAATACTTAATTGCACACAGTACAACATAACAACACCAAGGCAATGATGGGAAGACAGAAAAAACAGGGAAACCAGTTTCCCCACAGCAAAAAATTAGTACAGGAACCAGAGGGAATGAAGAAAACAGACACTCAGATCCAGACTCCAACAAAATGAAGATAAACTATGCCAAAGAACCCAATGAAGCCACAAGAGTAATTTAAAAGAAGACATATTACAGGTACACAATGAGAATTTTACAGAGATGACACTGGATATGGTCAACCAAAATGTACAGGAGACACTCAAGAAATTCAAGACAACAAAATAGAGAATTGGAAAAAGCAAAAGAAGACATAAAGGAAACCATAGAAGCACTGTATAAACACCAAAGTGAAACAGAGAACATGATTAATAAAAGATAAATGAACTCAGGACAAAAATAGACAACATTAAAAGGAAACACAGGATATGGAAAACCTCAGAAAAAAGAAAACAGAACTGCAAAACAAAACGGAAGGCCAATCCAGCAGAATAGAACAAACAAAAGACAGAATCTCAGAACTTGAAGATGAAATGGTAATTAAAGGAAAAAACTGAAGAACTATTATTAAACAACTCAAGACCTGTGAAAAGAAAATGCAAGAACTCACGACTCCATCAAAAGACCAAACTTGAGAATCATGGGCATCGAAGAAGGAGAAGAGGTGCAAGCGAAGGGAATGCGTAATATATTCAACAAAATAATAACAGAAAATTTCCCAAATCTAGAGAAAGATATTCCCATACAGATGCAAGAGGCCTCCAGGACACCAAACAGACCAGATCAAAATAGAACTACCCACGACATATCATCATTAAACAACAAGTTCAGAAACTAGGAAAGAATATTGAAGGCTGTAAGAGAGAAAAAACAAATAACATACAAAGGTAAACCCATCAAAATCACAGCAGACTTCTCAACAGAAACATTAAAAGCAAGAAGAGCTGGGGTGAGATCTTCGGGCACTGAATGAAAATAACTTCAACCCCAGGATACTCTACCCAGCAAAACTATCATTCAAAATAGATGGAGCAATAAAAGTCTTCCATGATAAGCAGAAACTAAAACAATATGTGACCACAAAGCCACCACTACAAAAGATTCTCAAGGGATTTCTGAAACCCAACAACCATGAAAGACAGGCAGCACCAACACACAGGAAAAGAAAAAGCAAGAAAGTAGAGAGTAACTCAACTTAGGTACACACAATCAAACCTTCAAACAACTAAGACAACTAAATGACAGGAATCAGCACATACTTATCAGTACTAACACTTAATGTTAATGGACTTAATTCACCCATCAAAAGGCACCGTTGATGAAATGGATTAAAAAGGAAGATCCAACAATTTGTTGCTTACAGGAGACCCATCTCACGACAGAAATAAGCATAGGCTTAGGATGAAAGGCTGGAAGAAGATTTACCAAGCCAATGGCCCCTGAAAACAGGCAGGAGTAGCAATACTTATCTCTGACAAAGTAGACTTCAAACCTACATTGATCAAACGAGATAAAGAAGGACATTCCATACTAATAAAAGGGGAAATAGACCAAAAGGAAATAATAATATCAACCTATATGCACCCAATGTCAACGCACCCAATTTCATCAAACATACCCTGAAAGACCTAAAAGCATATATTAACCAACACAGTGGTTGTGGGAGACTTTAAACCCCATTATCATCAATAGATAGGTCATCCAAACAAAAAATCAATAAAGAAATCCAAGATCTAAAATATACAATAGATCAAATGGACTATTGATGTCTACAGAACATTCCATCCAACTTCTACACAATATACATTCTTCTCAGCAGCCCATGGAACCTTCTCCAAAATAGATCATATCCTAGGGCACAAAGAGAGCCTCAGCAAATATAAGAAAATAGAAATTATACCATGCATACTATCTGATCACAATGCAATAAAACTAGAACTCAACAACAAAAGTAAAGACAAAAACATGCAAACAGCTGGAAACTGTAACTCATTACTTAATGAACAATGGTCATTGATGAAATAAAAGAGGAAATTAAAAAGTTCCTGGAAGTCAATGAAAATGAAAACACAACCTACGAACCTATGGGACAACAAAGGCAGTCCTGAGAGGAAAGTTTATAGCCAGATAGTGCATATATTAAAAGACTGAAGATCCCAAATCAATGACCTAATGATACATCTCAAACTCCTAGAAAAACAAGAACAAGCAAATCCCAAAACAAATAGAAGGAGAGAAATAATAAAAATAAGAGCTGAAATCAACAAAATAGAAACTAAAAAAACCATACAAAGAATTAATGAAACAAAAAGTTGCTTCTTTGAAAAAATAAACAAGATCGACAGAACCCTGGCAAACCTGACGAGAGAAAAAACCCAAATTAGTAGAATCAGGAATCCAAAAGAGGAGATAACAACACACACCATGGAAGTCTAGGAAATCATCAGAGACTACTTCGTGAACCTATATTCAAATAAATTTGAAAATCTTAAAGAAATGGACAGATTTCTAGATACATACGATCATCTAAAACTGAACCAAGAGGAAATTAATCACCCGAATAGATCTATAACACAAAATGAAATTGAAGCAGCAATCAAGAGTCTCCCGAAAAAGAAAAGTCCACGACCTGATGGATTCTCTGATGAATTCTATCACACCTTTAAAGAAGAACTGATACCAACCCTCCTTAAACTGTTCCACGAAATAGAAAGGGAAGGAAAACTGCCAAACACATTTTATGAAGCCAGTATTACACTTATCCCAAAACCAGGCAAAGACACCTCCAAAAAGGAGAACTATAGGCCAATCTCCTTAATGAACATTGATGCAAAAATCCTCAACAAAATAATGGCAAACCGAATTCAACAACACATCAAAAAGATTATTCACCACAACAAGTTGGCTTCATCCCAGGAATGCAGGGGTGGGTCAACATATGAAAATCAATAAACGTAATAAACCACATTAACAGAAGCAAAGACAAAAAGCACTTGATCATCTCAACAGATGCAGAAAAAGCCTTTGATAAGATACAACACCATTTCATGATAAAAGCTCTAAGAAAACTAGGAATAGAAGGAAAGTACCTCAGTGGGTGGTAAGGAAGGGGGTGGGGGCAGGGGGGAGAAATGACCCAAGCATTGTATGCACATATGAATTAAAAAAAAATTAAATAAATAAATAAAAGTGAGCAACATCATTCTCACAGGGTTAATCAATATATTGCCAAATTATTCATATAAATAACACAGATTATACAAAATATAAAAGCAATTCAATACTGGTGTTGCTTTAAATTACTAGTTATAATTACAGATGCTGCTTCAGTTAGAATAACTAAATAGCTGGCATCCTTTTGGAGCTGCAAGGCTCCGAAAACAGCTAAAGCTAAAATTACTAAAAAGCAACATACAAAATAAAACAGAAAAATCCTTAAAAAGTATTGATCATAAGGACTTCATCAGCATTTCCCTTTGTGTTTGTCCGTATTTGCCAATAAAACAATGCACAAATTTTATATGAAAGTCTTCCTTATGCCATAAATTATAATCATAATTGATCAATTTCTCAACAGAAGACTGAGTAATTTCTTTTCCCAAATCTTTTCTAGTTCAGGGTTATATGCCTAGTATGTTTCATAGTAGATATAAAATTCTAAATTATGAAAATAATATACTATAAAATAAATTTATATATATTTTCAATAATTTAACCATAGTCATAAAAAAACTCACAAAACTTTAAATATTACCAAAATGAATCATGTTTCATTTTTAATTCGGAAGAAATACATCAAAAAAGGGAGTCATAGATTTCTAAACGTTTCAGTTCTATATATTTTCCTAAATTCATATAAATTTACATTTTAATGACAAAATAGAAGCATACTTTTTGATATGATACACTTTCAGCTGTGTGAACATCTTCCTGGTTTTTCAGTACTTTCTGTGTGTCCATATGGAGAAGCTGAAGTTGCTGGATCAGCTCTGCTTGCTGTGCTGTATGTGCACTGTTCTGTTTGTAAAGATTCTGCAGCTCCTGTAATTCTTTCCTGTGCAAAGCAAGCAATAAATAGAGAGAAACATGAATAAATATCATTTCAGCTAAATAACTATGTTCATCAAAGATTACAGATTGGCTTCCGATTTTTCATCTGTTATTTTTTACTGAAGGCAAACTTCTTAATAGAAGAAGTAATATATAAAGTATTTAATATTTATCACATACACCTAGAAAGTATTGATAGAACGACTATGACTTTCAAAGGCAAATACCATTTTTCTTTTATAGCTTGATAGTAATAAAAACTCTGAATATACCATCATAGAACCACCTTCTTACTGAAATTAAGTTAATAGTTAAGTTCTGAGAAATTGACAACAATGATCCCAACTGTAGTTATCAGATAGTTTTGAATACAGGGTAAGTCAACCTTTTATTTTATAACATATAGAACTTTAAATACATTAAAAAACAATCCCAAAAGGCAAATTAGCTTTCAAACCAAATTCCTTAAAGCATCAGTGCCAACAGTTTGTAGCCTAAAGGGCCTGGACTGCAGTTCTTGTGATTGCTGTAATCCCACTTGTAGAAAATGATAAGTCACCACATTCAGAAAGAAGGAAACAACTCAAGGGAAACCAGTCCTTACAAGTCACCCTGGGTGAATAATGATAAGCAGCAGGACAAATAATCTGTTTGGTAATAATGGCACTAATGGTCCAGAAGAATCACAACTCTGGAGTGAGATTTCCAGATTCCTGTGGTAGTGAATCCTGTGTCACACAGAACACATAAAACTAGAAATTATTTTGTATACTCAATATGAAGAGAAAAATACTTATAGAGATGTAGTTCATCAAAATATACTTTTATATTAAATATTTTGGAGGCTGAATGTTAAGTCATATTTTTCTCTACCTATAGCTTCAAACTGGTAATTCATGTAAATAAAATAAATCTTAAAAGGAAGAACAAACTAAAGAAATATGCAGACATTTGCTGAAGAAGGATGGAAACTGATACACAAAAAATAAGTTCTTCTTTTTAGAGGTGTAGGACTTAATTGTCCCCAAAGGCAACAACCCCTGAACCCATGAAATACATGTGTATATACTACCTTTGTATGACTTATAAAATGGAAACTTGCAGAAGATAAAAGTCCAAACATAGAGAAGAGAGAAGAGACCCAATAATGGCACAATGCCTATAGGAAAGGAGTTACACTTGTTACACTTACAAGAGGAGAGGAAAAGAGACTCACATTAGTAATGCATATTGAGAACTGCTTTTTTCTATGAATAAAATCAGAAAAATTTACAAAAGAAATAAGCAACAGCATGTCCATCAGAGAATAGTCAAAACATCTGCTAGGCAGAGTCCTACATAAACGCGACACTTAAAAAAGGAACTTGATAAAGGTAAAACTTATCATCTTTCAGTATAACATGAAACACCTAATTTATTTCTCTTTCAATGTCAGAAGATATTTGGCATTTTTTAATAAGAGAGGCAGAATCTGTAGGAACAGAATTGTTTGCATCAATTTTTATGTGCAACAAAATATATGTATCTTTAGCTTTAAGACATATTCAAGAAGACAGAGATGATAATATTATTGAGGATTAAAACTTAACTAAAGGAAGAGCCCCTTTTTGTCTCTTCTCTCATGCTATTTTCTGGGCACTCCCCAAATAAATGGAATTTAAGCATAATCTTACACTATGTATATGTTTCTTTTTTTCCCCTACACCATTCTCTGAAAAGTAGATGTGATAGTGTATATCTACACTGTGACAAGTTGAACATGGGAACTTGATTAGTATCAAGTAAGCAACAAACAAGTTCTATAAAACTCACACATCTGGACCATTGGAAAAAACTGAACTTGTTTAGATGTCACAATATTTGAAAATAAAGAAAAATAAACAGGACTTACTAAAAGTAAGTGCATACTTAAAATTAAGAAAAAAATCATTGTGCATAGTGAAAAAGTATACCCAAGTAGGAATTGCCAACAAAATTTGAATAAAAAAGTAGGAAAACTCTGAAAAAGAAGCCATTATATACCTCTCTGAAATGTCAACAGAATGCCAAAATATAAGGGCATCATTTTAAGTCCAGGGATTCTATTGTTGAGTACTATGAATCGAACACCTAAGGTATTTCCTATCCCTTAATAAGTATTCATTGTACCAAAACACATATTATGCATATTTTCAGATCCAGCCTACCCTGGTCCTAGTCTCTCTGTGCCTTGCTCTGCCTCAGCTATGAACTATTATGTCAGCCTATCAAATTTATACAACTCATGTGGCTCCAATACCTGCATACCGATAGTGCTTGTCTCTTTGTACCAAGTTTCAGACTGCGATAAAATGTTACCACTCAGAGCAGCAAACTTTGACCAATGGAAGAGAAAACATAAAAGGAAAGTAGTCAGATAAATTACTTTCTTCCATCTGAAGGTTCCTCTAGGGAATGGTTTCTCTGTGCAGGATCAACACAGGTGACTAAATAAGTAGATCTGCTATATCTTCACAGCTCATCATGAAAAACAGTCAACACAATGATGCATTACCTTAAATTACTTATTATTCTTTCCTTCTTCAGATTCTTGCTCCCTCACTTCTTTGCATTGGAAATAAATTTCTCAAGTAAGCAATCAGTAGTTAATTCTACTCTGTTTTCTAGAATATCTGTAAACAGTTGCTGAATGGATGAAGTGAAAAGGATAACATAAAGAATAATTGTTTAAAAGAATAAAGATGCCGTCATGACATAAAAAAATCTATAATGAAGCAGCTATAAGCATAATCAAAACTATGGAAAATAAAATTATTTCAGATTCAAACTTTAGAAGTACCTCTAGTCACAGGTCAAAAAGAATAAAAGAAAATCTAGATTGTGCTGAAAAAGAAGTTGTTGAGCAACAATGCTTCTTCCCCTGTCAGGACAGATGTTAAGATCTTTGAAAAATGCTGTATTGTGAAAGATAAGCCAAATGATCTTATGGCTATAGTGACACTAATTAAGGAATTCAGAGGGTCAAAGGACAAATTAGAAATATTTCTTTAGAGATCAAGTTAGGTAACAAGGGCACATAAGGTTTTGCAGCTTCTCTGTATTATTCTGCAGTTAAAAAAAACTTATAGCTGATAAAAACAAAGATTTATTCTTGCTGACATTACATGTGGCTTTTCTCCATTCTAATTTGCAAGCTGGAGTACTAGACTAACTACATTGGGAATATGTTACTCCTCTGGCAGTGAGTAGGCAAACTAAACACTGAAGTAAAACATAGAATTAGGAAAAACCATTTGTGGATATGTAGTTACATAAGAGGCAATAAATGCTGTAATTCTTTAGATACAAATTGAAGGGAAGTTAAAGTGGTTGAATTTATGTGCTAATTTAAAATACATAGCCAGACCCCAAAAACAATTAAAAATGAAATAGAGTTCTCAAAAGAACAAAATAAGATGATCCTCCAAAGGTTTTCATGTTATTTTTTTTCTTAGTTTTGAAAAGATAGTGTTAGTGTTTGTTACAGAGAAGAAATAAATTGTATGAAATTGGTTATTCCTTCAATTTCACTTTGGAAAGTCTTTTTGTTTCATTAAATCCCACAAAATATAGTTGTTAGTTACTAAAAGAACATGCATAATATAATCACATTAACCCATAAATGTCTATCTACCCAATCTTCAATCTATAAAAACAGTAAGAAAAACCTAGGATGATGCTCACAAAATTTTAATGGCCATTGCATTTTTAGTATAATTTTTTCCCTCTCTCTTCTTTGTACTTTTCTATACTTTTTTGTAATTCACATTTATCATTTATACAAAAAGTTATGTCCTTATTTTTATTGGTTATATAAATATAAACAGAATAAAGAAGAATAGAAATGTTAATTTCAAAGGATTTTGAACTCAAGAAAAAGTGTTACATAGAAAAAAATGTAAAATATACAAATTATTCACCAAAAAATGTACATTAAAACATATACACTGAAAATTCAAGCAATAAATAGTAAATCATTTGGAAACTAGATGGGAAAGATTGATCCCATTTAAAATGGAAAAAAACATGAAACACTGAGGAATAAATATAGTAAAACGTGTTCAAAATCCATGTAAGAACTTAAAATAACCTTGTAATGACAGGAAGATAGACTGAAACAAACAGAATGGCATACCATATGGTGGGACAAGACTGAACATCATGAAAATGTCAATTCTCCTTAAGTTTCCTCACAAATTTTATGTCTAATGAAATACCGAATAGTAAAGACAAGTTTAAAGTTTATATAGAAAATTAATAAGTGATAATGGCCAGAAAAGCTCCAAAAAAAGAACAGTAGCAGAAGGAGCAATCTTCATCATCTCAACCCTACTTAGCCTAACAAGCCAACTTCTACATACTACTTAAACTGTCTCCTGGCTCTATGGCTCTGAATTTGACCAGCTGAAGTTTCTGGGTGGACAAAGGAGAAACAGATCAGGGTATTTATTTCCCTGGATCTCTCTCTTCTGACCCAGTCTGGCAGTACCTGTGTTCATCCAATGCGACCACTCCAGCAGTCTCTCTCCTTGCCCCTTCTGGCCCAAGAGTGGTAATTATTTCCTATTCTTGTATAATCCATGATTGTTATTAAGATGAATTTAGTATCTATTTGGAGCAAACTGACAAACTGTATCATATCAAACCATAAACTTTGTGTATCTCTGCACATATTAGACTTTTATTTCTCTCAACAATGTTTCAGAGTTCTCTGTGTAGAGGTAATATACATCTTTCATGATACTTACTGTTTAGTTTTTAGTAATGTTATAATTTATAAAAATACAATTCAATTTTATACACTGACTTTGGATCTACCAAGCATACAAAACTCACTAATTTAAACAATATATCTATAAATTATTTTGAGCTTTCTTGTAAATTTATCAAATTTTGGGTCAATAACAGGTCCATTTCCTTATTTACAGTGTCTGTATCCTTTTTATTCTTTCCTTCCTGCACACTATTTTGCAAAACTGTAGATTAATTTAAGTGTAGAATTGTTTTAGCATGAGATATAATTTACACTTGCTTCTAGTAAGTGAATAGGAACACTAATAATCTATATATACAAATCCAAGGAATATCAGCATATACACAAATCCAATTTCAGGATTCTGACTTCAGGATATTCCTAACTGTAATTATAGCTGTACTGTCTTGACTTTCATTTTTTGTCACAGATTTGTAACTAATTTACAGTAAAATTTTCACCTCAATTATGGTATCATTACCTACTCAGGTAAAAGTTTTGGTTAAACAACTTAATTGGGTACCACTTTTTATTCAACTTCTAGGTGAATATATTCAGATGCTCTGTATATGTTACTGACATTAGCATCATTACATATGCATATATACTTATTTATCTAGCCATAGACAAAAACCATTTGAGGCAGTTCACAAAAATATTTCATTACAAAAGGAGTATCAGAGTAAACTCAAAAAAATATAAATGATTATAAACTCCAAAGAAAAAACTGAAACAGAAACAAGGCTAAGTCATCTTCATCACTTATCAATTTGAAAAAGTGTATCAACATAAGGAAGTGCCTAGACCATTTTTACCAAAAGTACGATTCTGCATGTCTTGAGTACAACATACAGATTCAATAAAAGATGCTCATATATCATGGCCATTCCCTCTCCAAGAAATGAAAATGATAAAGGAAATGATACTTCGTAATAGATCTAACATGTAATCGTTATGTAGAGAACTCAACCAAGAGTACTCTTTAACCATGCTCACTCAGTCCTATAGAGCCCCTACTCCTAGCTTAGTATACATAATTCCATAATACAAATAGGGGAGACAGTGGGGTTTGAACTCAGGGCCTAATGCCTGCTAGGCAGGCACTCTACTACTTAAGCCAACCCTCATAATTCCAGATTTTCAATGCACAAACATATATTCCCACAGAAGACACACCGTTGTCATTTGGAAGTGTGAATAACAAGCATAAATGTTGCTATACTGAAATGATTAGTGATATTTCTTTAATGTTAAATTAAAAATTGAATATACTTGCCTGACCAGAGTAATATCCATATCCTTTTGGAGAAGTTCAGTTTGTTTATTATTCAACTGTAATGATAATGCATTGTATTTACTTTGTGAAACTTCAACTTCTTTCTTTGCTTCAATTAAATCATCTTCAAAGGCCTAAAATAGAGCACACACATTATAATTAAGCATAATAAATATAAAATGTAACAAAAAAGTTATATTTATTCTCCAAAATGACAGAGAAAAACCAGTTAATTTTTTTTCACTTAATTAAAAAAATTTTAGGACAGGCAGAATGGTACATACTTGTTATATCCCAGTTACTCAGGAGGTGGAGATTGAGAGGATCACAGTAGGATGCCAGTGCAGGCAAAAATTTAATGAGACCACATCTCAACCAATAAGCCAAATATGATGGCATGCCTATAATCCTAGGTATGTGGGGGGTAGAGGTAGGAGGATCACAGTACAGTGCTGGCCCTGAGCAAAAAATATGAGACCTTTTCTGAAAAATAACTAAAGCAAGAAAGAACTGGGGGCATGACTCAAGTAGTGAAGCACCTGCCTAGCAGGTACAAACTAGGCCTTGAATTCAAACCCCAGTTCCTCCCCCCCAAAGAAAACCAGTACAAACAGTGACTTATACTAATCATAGACTTTTTTCAGAAACTCAAGAAAGTATAGCTTCCTGGCATAAACATTAAGAATTTGAAACAAACTTGAAAAAACTTATAGAAATTTGTTATTTTAATTATAATAAATTATATAATTAAAAAGTTGTTCATTAAATGAAAAATTAGCTCAATTAATTGTTAGAAGAAATAATAGTTATCTTATTTCATTGTTTCCTATGTTTTAAATGTACACATACAGGGCTGGGATGTAACTCAGTGATAGATCACTTGCCTGGCATATACAAGATTCTGAGTTTGATCCCCAATACCACACACACACACACACACAAAATTAAATGTAACATACAAATGCACTCAGAAAAGAAAGGACAATGCTGAAAAGAAATCAAAATAATTTTTCAATGTTTGAGACTTGGACTATGCTTAGCTCTCTTGATTAGGTAAAATTTCACCCAAAGTTCTTCAAAGTTGGCCTTTTCCTCTTGATCATTCTCTAAATTTTTTTTCATTCTGAAATAATTTTAAAACTTACATGAAATAAATAATTGTTATGAAGAAATAAATATTATACCTAAATAGAGTATGCCCACATAAATAACATATAGTCATTATTTCCAAAACTGAACACCAAGGTTCAGGTTAGGCATTAGAATTTCCCATTTATTCACAAAAAAATCAATGACAGATACATAAGTAGGCAGATAGATGGAAGAAAGAGAGACACAGAAGCAAGGAAGAAAGGAAAGAAGGGAAAGAAGGATGGAACTTGTTTTATGAAGGAAAAAAAAGCCTAAGGCACTCAAAAACAGAACTATGACAAAGGACCTGAGACAAAGTGATAAGAACTTAGCAAATACCTATCTCTGTGCCAGTACACTCTGTGTAGTGAGTGCTACTCACTATCTTTAGTGATGGCTAGATGCTGAACTACTGAAAGGTAAATAGAAATAAATGCAGTAACATGCTTAACAAGGTTAAAAAGTCAGACTGTGGAGACCTGTGGCATTGAAAAAAAAAAAAAAGAAAAGATAAAAAACTTTTGTGACTGTGTTGTGGAGATACAAAAGAAAACTTTTTAAAGTAGACAGAATCTGGGAAAAGCTGCACATTTTAAGATTCAGTCTGACCTATCATCAGAGAGGGGGGCGAGACCTCTCAGTCACTGCAAAAAGATGTAGCCTCAGACTGGAGTACCGTGGAGTTCCAGAAACCTCACGATTGTCTAAAAGGGACAAATAAGCACCAGGGTGAAACAGGACATTAACACATTCCTGCTCAAGATGAATCCTTAGAAAAATCTAACTTTCAAAAAGAGGACACAGTTCAGAGGCAGAAAACTTACCTGGCACACACAAGGCCCTGGTTCGATCCCTAGCTCGGGGGGGAAAAAAAGATTAATGTGTAGAAAAACTAATTTCAGCTGAGCATGTTGGCACACATCTACAATCCCAGCTACTCTAGAGAAGGACCACAAGTTCAAGGCCAGCTTGGCAACTTTGCAAGAACCTGTCTCAAAAATAAAATAAGCTACTTGGGAGGTGGCAGCAGGAGAATCCTGAGTACAAAGCCAGCCCAGGCAAAATTAAGACAGAATCTATCTCAAACACAAAATATAAACAAAAGGGCTGGGGGCATGGTTCAATTATTAGAGAGCTTGGTTAGTTTGCAGGAGGCCTTGGGTACAATCTCCGAGTACCACGTATAAAAAAATAAATACACATACATATGTGAATACATAACTAAAATAAATTAAACATCTGGGTATGTACTCAGTGGTAGTACATTTTCCTAGCATATTTGAGGCCATGAATTCAAACCCCAGTATTGAGTGGTCAGAAATAGACAATAAACAAAGTGAACCCAAGGAGATAAACATTTTAGAAAATTGGAAATATCAGATCTATAGCAAAAGAACTAAGAGACTTATGAACAAAAAAATGGGACAATTAGGCTGCTAAAGTAAAAAAAAAAATGTAGCTGGTATCAATAACAAGAGAGAAACCAATTCAAAGGCTACTGAATCCATCCAACGAAACAATCCACCCAAAGCTGACAAGTAATAAAAGAGCTTAAGTGACAGACTTAAGTTATATTCTGAAGACAGAAGTGACAACTTGTTGTCAAGTTGTCTGTGGGATACTGAGACAAAGACAGGAATCAAACATCTCTCCCAGAGATACAGCATGAGCAAATAAGTCAAAAAAAGTTCCATTTACTGTTGTAGGGCAGACTAGAGAAGGCATGGGTTTGAGAACAAAAGTCTAGTAGGACACTTCAGATGACTATAATAGATATTTTAAGTCATCAGAAAATGCTATAACAAGAAGCTTACACCCCTAGAAAAACAACTAGAGAAAAATCTAAATAGAATGGAAACAAGAATACTTATTCTTGTTTAGCAGAACTATATTTGTATTACTAAGTAAAGAATTATATTACTAAGCAAATAAGGGAAGAAAACAATGGGGAAAAAATTCTGAATACTCAGAATTGTAAAGTCAGTCCTCAAATAGAATTACAGCCTGGTTTCCACTGTTTTCAGGTCAGTGAACCCCAAATCAGGAGCCTGACTTAAGGTGGCCCCACACTAGTCATGATTCCAAGGTACTTGGCAAAAAACCACTCTTCTCTGAATAAAGGCTTCTTGATGACAATGCAGAGTTAAAATGAAGCTTTTTATCACTTCCCACTGTATGCTGTTTAATTTTAAGCCATGAAACTCTATTACTTTTCAAAAGGGAAAAATTCATAAGAAACAGGGAAAAACCAGAAAAATTTCAAAGATCATTAAAAATTTCACAAATACCAATAAATTAACTCAGGTATTTAAAATAAATTCACAAAAATGCTACATCGGGTCCTAAATGTTTAAATGAAAGGGCTACAAAAATTTCAATGGAAGAATAACCCTAGTTTCACAGGAAATATTACAGAGAATAAAAAGATGATGTTTCCGATTGACTTTATGAAATCTGCATGATCTTTATCCAAGTCAGAAGGACAGGACTTAAAAAAAAGGAATATTTTAGGGTAATATCACAAAGGAATATAGTTGTAAAACTCCAAAATAGATGATGCTAGTGCTAAAGAAAATTTTTGCTTTGTTTACTTATTTGTTTTGTGGTTCTCAAACAACCCAGAGCATCACATATGCTTGGCAAGTACTCTATCACTGAGCTACATTCTCAGCTCAGGAAGTTTGTTTTTATTGTGATTATCTGGTTCCAGAAATACAAAGAGTAGTTAAGTATTATAAAATCTATTAACATATTAAAAGGAAAAAGATCATATGAATATGCCAATACATTCAGAGAAAGCATCACAAATAATCCAACACCTTTACAGAATGATTTTTTTAACTGCCAGCAATGTAAGAATAGAGAAGAAATTTCTTAATTTGATAGCAGTAATACCAAAAATTTAACAATCATCATAATCAATCATCAAATGCTTCTAAGAATAAAAAACATGATGTTTTATATTAAAGGCTGCTTGAGTATTTTAGTCAACACAATTAGGAAAAAAAACAAGAGACATCAAATATATAAATATCATTACTTGAAGCCAGGCACTAGTGACCCACATCTGTAATCCTAGCTACTCAGTAGCCAAAAGATAAGGAGGATCACAAATAATTCACAATACTTTATCTCAAAAATACTCAACACAAAAAGAAGAGCTGGCAGAGTGGCTCAAGTGATAGAGTGCATGCCTAGCAAATATAAAGCCCTGAGTTCAAACCCCAGTACCACCAAAATATGTTAATTAAATTAAATTAATATTGCTTGAAAAGGTACACTCATTATTAGTTGTCACTATGAACCTATATACAAAGTTCAAAAGAAAGTATAAACACTCAAAACTAATTAAAGTAATATCACAGCATAAAAGATGACTATGCAAAATGTAAATGCCTTTCTAGCTAATTCCATATTAATGACACAAACAATGCAAATTAACCAGCAACAAGTCTTATGACAAATGAACAATATACTTGAAAAATATAAAATACCTAAATAAAGTAGAAGATATGCTATGTTCATGAATGTATGGAATCATTATAAATACATTTACATATAAACATTATTATAACTATACCTCTACATTTACCTCTAAATATAATGCAATTTTAAGAAAAATTACGATGGTTTTATATTGAACTTAGTATCCTCATTGTAAAGTTCATGTTAGCCATAAGTCAAAAATAAAGATGATTTTGGAAGAAAAGAACAAAGATTAGAAATTCTTCCTATTGGACAGAAATTTTCGAGTAACCTTTGCAAATGTAAAATGTAGTCCTAGACACAGATAAGCAAATAGGCCATAGAAACACAAAACACATCCCAGAAGCTAACCAAATAATATATATTAAAATGTGATAGATGAAGAAAGTATCTTTCTAAATCTTTGGGGGAAAGCTGTTTGGTAAAATAAATGCCAATGGTACTACTGGATTAAATTGAAAACTACCAGACCTCGGCCAAGCCAAAAACATTTGTCCTTCTTTCCATATTTTTCTCC